GTTCCACGTGCTGTGTCAGTGCAAGTGACCCTTACACCGATGAAGCAAATACAATGCTTCATACTTACACCAATATGCGTGACACGCGATGCAATATGGACCTCCCTAGACTGTTATAATTACGATTCATTTAAATTCACGTATGTTTATATGATTTTTTTGTTTATGTAAGTAACAGTGATAAAAATTAAAAGATTAAAGCATTTGCGAGGTCAATTAACCATAAATTTATTAGAAAAAAGCGCAGTAACACAAACACTTACGAAAATTACTAAGCTGAGAATAAATTGAACATTTTGTATAGTGCAATAAAAATAATATTAAATCCTATTAATTTTCAATATTTTAACAGTCCAATTTTGTACCGTCTGTTCATAATTTCACTTGCTATAGTAGAAACAATTCATGATGTTTACTTCATGTTACGTATGTTGTAGAGTGGTGTAATTGAGTTTTAAGGAATATTTATAAAGCCATTTTTAAAAAAACAGTGTTAACACGTTGACCTTTATTAATTTCAGATGCAACTATATGATCTACACGCAAATCATGTGAATAATTAGACCGTTATTTGAAACTGCACAGTACCGCTTAAAAAAAAAAACAAATTTTACTAAATATAAGCCAAGTAAAGAGATAACACTAAGCAATTCAAATATTTTGTATTTAATTTATAATATTCTTTTTTTTTTATAGGAGAGGGGGCAAACGAGTATGCGGCTCACCTGATGGTAAGTGACTACCGCCGCCCATGAACAACTGCAACACCAGGGGAATCGCAGATGCGTTGCCGGCCTTTTAAAAAGGAGTACGCTCTTTTCTTGAAGGTCCCTAAGTCGTATCGGTCCGGAAAAATCGCAGATGGTAATCGATTCCACAAGGAGGTCGTGCGAGGAAGAAAACATCTTCTAAATCGCACAGTGGTGGACCGCCAATCATCCAGATGGTGTGGATGGTATCGGGAGTTCTGCCGCGATGTGCGTTCGTGAAATTTGGCGGCTGGGATTAATCCGAACAATTCCTCAGAGCACTCCCCATGGTAAATGCGATAGAAAATGCAAAGGGATGCAACATCTCTTCGCAGTGCCAATGAATCGAGCCGATCGGAAAGGGCTCGGTCGTCGACAATTCGAGCCGCTCTGCGTTGGATGCGGTCAAGTGGAAGGAGCTGGCACTGGGGAGCCCCTGCCCAGAGATGGGAACAGTATTCCATGTGAGGCCGAACTTGCGCCTTGTAAAGTAGCAGGCGGTGTGCCGGCATGAAATACTGTCCCGCTCTGCTGAGCACGCTAAGCTTTTTAGAGGCCAATTTGGCCTTCCCTTCCAAGTGACCACGAAACTGCACGTCACTCAATATGTCGACTCCGAGGATACCGATACTGGCTGAGGCAAGAAGGGGAGTGCCTTGAAACTGAGGAGATACGACAAAGGGGTTCTTTTTAGCGGTAAACGCGCAAACTTGTGTCTTCTGAGAATTAAATTGGACTAGATTTAGTCGCCCCCAATCCGAGACTTTGTTCAGCAAAGACTCGACTTCAGACACAAGTTTGTACCGGTGTTCACGGCCGGTGTATAGAGCATCACCAGTGCTGTCATCCGCATAGCAATGAATGTTACCAGTTAGCAACATATCATTGATATGCAGAAGAAACAACGTTGGTGATAGCACACAGCCTTGTGGAACACCAGCGTTAATAGGCTTGTAGTCAGAGCATGCACCGTCTACAACGACCTTAATGCTCCGATCTGCAAGGAAGCTGGTGATCCAATTGCACAATTTCTCGGGAAGCCCATAGGAAGGGAGCTTCGAAAGAAGCGCTCTGTGCCAAACCCGATCGAAGGCCTTCGCAATGTCCAGACTAACGGCCAACGCCTCCCCCTTAGACTCTACTGCCTCCGCCCATCTATGGATCAAGTAGGCCAGAAGATCACCAGCTGATCGACCCCGACGAAAACCGTATTGGCGGTCACTAATCAGCTGGTGATCCTCAAGGTACCGGATGAGCTGGCAGTTAATAATGGATTCCCTTATTTTGGAGAACAAGGAGGTGATCGCGATAGGCCTATAATTGGATGGGTCTGAGCGGTCGCCTTTTTTAGGGATCGGGTGGACAAAAGCTGTCTTCCATGAATTCGGGACTACGCCTTGGGAGTAGGAGTACCGGAAAAGACGCGTTAGGACCGGCGCCAACTCCGGAGCACACGTCCTCAGCACAATTGGGGGGATTCCGTCAGGCCCACTCGACTTCTGGACGTCCAGGGAGAGCAGTGCTTTGCGAACCGAGCGCTGTGAGAACAGCACATCCGGCATGGAGCACTCACACCGCGGTATGGTCGGCGGTGTTTTCCCCCCGTCATCAAGAGTCGAGTTGGACGCAAAAAGGGAGCCTAAAAGGTCGGCTTTGTCTTTTGCGTCATGGGCCAGTGAGTCATCCTCCCTCTGCAGAGATGGTAGTGATGGCTTACAGAAATTCCCTTGGACAGCCTTGGCGAGAGACCAGAACGCACGGGTTCCCGAAGAAAGGCGAACTAGTTTCTCGCCAATTCTGCCCATGTGCTCTAACTTTGCCTTGGCAATAACCCTTTTGAAGGACCTTGAGGCAAAGTTATACTTCTTTTTAAGTGTGCTGGTATTTACATCCCGAGTCGTCGAAGCCGCAGCCCAGGCTTGATAACACTCCTGTTTACTGCGTAATGCAGTCTTACAGGAGCGACCAAACCAAGGCTGAGATCTGCCTCCGATGGGTACCACAGATGATGGAATAAATAGTTCCATTCCCTGTAGCACCACATCAGTGACAGAGTCAGCAACAGCGCTGGGATCATCCGGCGAGAAGCAAACCCGCCCCCATGGGTAGGATGCAAAGAAGGACCGCATTCCGTCCCAATCCGCCGACCTGTAATGCCAAACACGGCGACAACCTGCAGAACGCAACCGCGAAGGGAGCGTGAGTGGCACCACACTCCGGATCAGACAATGGTCCGAAGAGCCGAGAGGGGCATCGACGGAAACCTGATATCCGTCCGGATGAGAGGTCAGCAGAAGGTCCAACAGGGAAGATGTATGATCCTTCACATCTGGAATCCGCGTAGGCGAAGTAACCAGTTGTGTCAGACCATATGCCAAGGCAAAGTCATAAACAGATCTCCCCGCATGATCGGTTAGACGTGAACCGAGCCATTCGGCATGGTGGGCGTTAAAATCGCCAAGGATCACGATCTCTGCGGATGGGACCTGTTGTAGCAAGAAATCTGTAGCCATTTGGACGTGGTCGATGAGTCGGTCTGTTTCGGCATTACCGCTATGGGACCTATAGAGGCACCCGTAGACGCGCGGATGGTCGTCGCTGTCTACGCGTAGCCAAAGGATGGACAGGTCCGAACCTTCAAGACGGCCGAGGCATCGAGGACAGATGTCCTCTCTGACATACACGCAAACTCCAGCCCGAGGCACAAAGGAATGCTCCAATTTGTACCCCGGGTAGGAGAGATACGAAATATCAGCCGGAGAGGAAACCTGCGTCTCGGTCAGAAAGAGCAAGGCCAGCTTCGCCGTCTCGAGATGATAGTGGACGGCGTTTAGGTTAGAGTGAAGTCCCCTGATGTTGCAGAAATTCACGGATAGCGTGGCAGGGGTCGCCTTGGTGTTCTTGCTCAGTTTGCCCCTAGCAGTAATGCTTTTGAGCGGAATTTTGCCCCCCCCCCCCAGAATACGCGGGGCAGCCTGAGCACCCACGCTCAGGATCGGAATAACATGGTCGTGGATGCTCAGCGAGGGATTCTCCAGGGGTGCTGGTACCCTCCTGGGGTAGTTCTTCGTGTAATTCCGCTACCATGTTGATGGGGGGGGGGAATTGGGTCTCCGGCCACCTGCACTCACCAGACGAAACGCAGAAGCAAAGCTTCTACTTCACGCCGGTATTCTGTGAGGTCGTGGTACCAACCCGGCTCGAGCCGGCCCATACATGCAACAGCAAAAACTGCTGCGTGGCTCTACCACCGTTAAAACTTTTAACTAATTTTAACTTAAATTTACACTTGTAAACTTGCACTAAATTTGCACTTGTATCAGTGTACACTGATACAAGTGCAAATTTTCAGTCAATTTATAGTTTTTTTTTTTTCAAGGCATTGTAAACTTTTACAATTTACGATATTTAAGAAAAAATATGTTTGATGCAATCAATGAGACTCAATTATAACACAAAATACACAATTATTTTATAATATTAAATAAAATATCAGTAATTAACAATACTTTTCATATTTTGTGCTACCTCCAAGTTAGGACTTTTTAGTTGGGAACATGTCTTTCATCAAAAATCTTTAATAGCTTAAACAATATAGAAGTAAAATTTGCGAAAATCCGTTACTTAAAAATTTATATCGAAAACTGTCCAAAGTTTTAATCAGACGCTGAACTTTTTGACTAGTTCAACGTCGATCTGGTCATTAGTGTGGTTGTGTACATACAAAAAATAATAATAAGAATACAAACGTCTAAACATTATTTATGATTCAAATGTGCCTACGCTAGATCACCTTTAATTTTATGAAAATAATTGCTTACGAGAGCGACACTGAAAGTTTTTAGAACTGGCCACTTGTAAACGATATAGTAAAAAATGAGTTCAAATTTTGAAAATTGAACTCTTTATCAATAACATTGTGTAAGTAATTTATTAATTTGTTATATGTTTACGATTTGGCGGCAAATTGAAAATTGTCTGTGTCACGTCAGCATGAATTTAACGCGAGAAAATTTTCGAACAATGATTTTTTATAACTTTTAAATTGCTAGGTATTTGCGAAAACCAAGAAAATGTCCTTACCACGGGTTTACATGGATGTTACTGCTGATGGCACTGTTCTAGGAAGAATTGTTATTGAGTTGAGAACAGATTTACCCCAAGACTTGTGAAAATTTCCGTGCCCTCTGTACTGGTGAAAAAGGTTTTGGATACAAAGGCTCCACTTTCCACCGTGTTATCCCCAGCTTCATGTTGCAAGGAGGTGACTTTACAAACCATAATGGCACTGGTGGCAAATCTATCTTTGGTGAGAAGTTTGCCGATGAGAACTTTGTTTTGAAGCACACTGGCCCAGGTGTGCTCTCTATGGCTAATGCTGGCCCTAACACTAATGGCTCTCAGTTCTTTATTACTACTGTGAAGACATCGTGGCTGGATGGAAGACATGTGGTCTTTGGAAATGTAGTGGAGGGCATGGATGTTGTGAAACAAGTTGAAGCCCTGGGTTCCCAATCTGGCAAACCCTCCAAGAAAGTTGTAATTGCTGATTGTGGTCAGCTTTCCTAAGCCAATTCTGTAATATTTATATAAATGGAATGCAATATTTTAAGTTTAATGTAATGTTCTCACAACTATTACCTTCCCACTCGTAAAGATTTAACATTCCAAAGTTATGAATGGTTCATTCCAGTTATGTTATAAATTTATAACTTTGTTTTAGGTTGCAACCTAGCCATTGCATTTATTACTGTGCATTGTTTTTTTCATAATAAATTAACTTATATATATATATATTTATATATATAATATATATTTAAGTCAACAAAAAAGTTATGATAGACTTCGATCGGCCTTTCACAGTAAAACTCCATCTTGTGCCACTATTTACAGCTGGTTTAATGAGTTTAAACGTGGTTGCACTAATCTCACCGATGATCTGCGTAAGGGACGACCATCTACGGCGACGACTGAAGATAACAGCAGTGTTGTAAGGCGTATGATAGAGACTAACAAAAGAGTGACTATCAGCAGATTCGGACAAGCTTAGGCATCAGTATGAGTCAAGTGCACAAAATCCTCCATGAACATTTAGCGTTCAGGAAGCTTTGTGCCCGGTGCATACTTCATAGTTTGACAGAGGCCCAAAAACTCCGTCGTGTTGATTGGTCTCGTGAAATTGTTCAAAGATTTAACGGAGGTGACTCAAATGCTGTGTTCGATATAATTACGGATAACGAAAGCTGGATTTATGGTTATGATCCTGAAACTAAGAGACAGTCTGCTGTCTGGGTGTTTTGCTTTGCTTAACCTAAAACACAGGGTTTACTCTAACTTAGGAAGCAAGTTCATTTTTAAGAACATGTTTAGTATATAAGATGCATTGTTTGACTCTTACTCTGTATCACTATACTATCTGAGTAAATTATTATTATTATTATTATTATACATCTATATTCTCCCTATTATAGAGGTAACTTAAAACCTAATCACACGGGCCGAAGCCAAGCGTGAGCAGGTGCTAGGTGATGGTGTAAGCGGAGGTGACGGATGAAGTGGTGAGGAATTTGCGTGTGAGTCGGCAGGTGTTGACAATGACAGCTTTCTGCAGGGTGTAAAGTGTGTGTACGTACCCCATACTTGCAAAATATTTAAACTGCGTTGTAGGCTTTTAGGTATGACACCGGTAGATGAGATAACTATTGAGACTATATGGATGGCTTCTGCTTTCCATTGACGCTTCAGTTCTATTGCTAAATCTTGATATTTTGTAAGTTTTTCAGCAATGGTGGATTGAATGTTATGGGTGTTTGGTATGGCTATTATTATGTTTCCTTCCGAGGACTTGCCAACTAAAGTGAATAGAGGTCGAAGAAAAACAGTTACTGCAGAGTGGTACACTAACAATTGCTTGTCACTTGTCTTGAAAAAAGATAGGGAGAAACGAACTCACAGTAGGATCCTCCTAATCCACGAGAACGCCTCGTCGCACACCGCCAAACAAATAATCGACTACTTGGCGACGTCAGACGTGGAATTACTGGGTCACCCGCACTATAGCCCAGACCTTGCGATTTTTATTTATTTCCGAAAATAAAAGAAAAACTTCGAGGAAAACGTTTTATGGACGCCGAGGAAGCAGTGGCTGTGTTTCAAAATACCGCCGAAAAGACCCCTAAGGACGAATGTGCAAATTGCTTTTGTCTGTGGTTCCATCGGATGCAGCGATGTATTTATGTAATTGGACACTATTTTGAAAAGATATAATAAAACTAATAACTTGCTAGTTTGTTCAGTTTTTGATTTTCTAAGAACTTTCAGTGTCACCGTCGCAACACCAAATTGATAAAATTTTTATGGGACCACATGAGAAGCACCTGCTTTCAAATAAAAAAAGAGTCATCGAAATCAGTTCACCTAGAAAAAAGTTACGATGTAACACAAATAAAACAACATTGATGGCTCCGTGGCGCAGTGGCTTAGCAATGAGTTGCTGCGGGTACGAATCCCGCACGGAACAAGTATTTGTATGGCCTATAAATAATTGTTCCGGGTCTGGATGTTTGTCCATGTGCAATCTGTGTTTGTAAACTGCCTCCACGATACTGGTGAAAAATCCTAGTGTTGACGTAATGTTTTAAAAAAAAAATTAAAAAACACAGTAGAATTGAATACCTCTTCCTTTTGAAGTCGGTTAAAAAGAGTCAAAGTAATAGCAAGTTTTTAACGGTGATAGAGCCACGCAGCAGTTTTTGCTGTTGCACGTATGGTGCTCAGGCTGCCCCGCGTATTCTGGGGGATGGGGCAAAATTCCGCTCAAAATCATAACTGCTCGGGGCAAACTGAGCAACAATACCAAGGCAACCCCTGTCACGCTATCCGTGAATTTCTGCAACATCAGGGGACTTCACTCGAACCTAAACGCCGTCCACTACCATCTCGAGAACGCGAAGCCGTCCTTGCTCTTTCTGAACGAGATGCAGGTGTCCTCTCCGGCTGATATTTCGTATCTCTCCTGCCCGGGGTACAAATTGGAGCACTCCTTTGTGCCTCGGGCTGGAGTTTGCGTGTATGTCAGACAGGACATCTGCAGTCTCGGCAGTCTTGCAGGTTTGGACCTGTCCATCCTTTGGCTACGCGTAGACAGCGACGACCATCCGCGCATCTACGGGTGCCTCTATAGGTCCCATAGCGGTAATGCCGAAACAGACTGACTCATCGACCACGTCCAAATGGCTACAGATTCCTTGCTACAACAGGTCCCATCCGCAGAGAACGTGATCCTTGGCGATTTTAACGCCCACCACGCCGAATGGCTCGGTTGACGTTTAACCAATCATGCGGGGAGATCTTTTTATGACTTTGCCTTGGCATATGGTCTTATACAACTGGTTACTTTGCCTACGCGGATTCCAGATGTGGAGGATCATACACTTTCCCTGTTGGACCTTCTGCTGACCTCTCATCCGGACGGATATCAAGTTTCCGTCGATGTACCTCTCGGCTCTTCGGACCATTGTCTGATCCGGAGTGTGGTGCCACTCACGCTCCCCTCGCGGTTGCGTTCTGCAGGTTGCCGCCGTGTTTAGCATTACAGGTCGGCGGATTTGGACGGAATGCGGTCTTTTTTTGCTTCCTACCCATGGGGGCGGGGTTGCTTCTCGCCGGATGATCCCAGTGCTGTTGCTGACTCTGTCACTGATGTGGTGCTACAGGGAATGGAACTATTTATTCCATCATCTGTGGTACCCATCGGAGGCAGATCTCAGCCTTGGTTTGGTCGCTCCTGTATGACTGTATTACGCAGTAAGCAGGAGTGGGCTGCGGCTTCAGCGACTCGGGATGTAAACACCAGCACACTTAAGAAGAAATATAACTTTGCCTCAAGGTCCTTCAAAAGGGTTATTGCCAAGGCAAAGTTAGAGCACATGGGCAGAATTGGCGAGAAACTAGTTCGCCTTTCTTCGGGAATCCGTGCATTCTGGTCTCTCGCCAAGGCTGTCCAAGGGAATTTCTGTAAGCCTTCACTACCATCTCTACAGAGGGAGGATGACTCACTGCCCCAAGCCGCAAAAGACAAAGCCGAACTTTCAGGCTCCCTTTTTGCGTCTAACTCGACTCTTGATGACGGGGCGAAAACACCACCGACCATCCCGCGGTGTAAGTGCTCCATGCCGGATGTGCTGTTTTCACAGCGCTCGGTTCGTAAAGCACTCCTCCCCCTGGACATCCAGAAGTCGATAGGGCCTAACGGAATACCCTCAATTGTGCTGAGGACGTGTACTCCGGAGTTGGCACCGGTCCTAGCGTGTCTTTTTCGGTACTCCTACTCCCAAGGCATAGTCCCGAATTCCTGGAAGACAGCTTTTGTCCACCCGATCCCTAAAAAAGGCGACCGCTATGACCCGTCCGACTACAGGCTTATCGCCATCACTTCCTTGTTTTCCAAAATAATGGAATCTATTATTAACTGCCAGCTCATGCGGTACCTTTAGGATCACCAGCTGATTAGTGACCGCCAATACGATTTTTGTCGAGGTCAATCAGCTGGTGATCTTCTAGTCTACCTGACCCATAGATGGGCGGAGGCAGTAGAGTCCAAAGGGGAGGCGTTGGCCGTTAGTTTGGACATTGCGAAGGCCTTCGATCGGGTTTAGCACAAAGCGCTTCTTTCGAATCTCCCTTCCTATGGGCTTCCAGAGAAATTTTGCAATTGGATCACCAGCTACCTTGCAGAGAGGAGCATCAAGGTCCGTGTAGACGGTGCATGCTCCGACTACAAGCCTATTAACGCTGGTGTTCGACAAGGCTGCGTGCTATCACCAACGATGTTTCTTCTGCATACCAATGATATTTTGCTAACTGGTAACATTCATTGCTATGCGGATGACAGCACTGGTAATGCTCTATACACCGGCCGTGCTAATATTTATCGGTAAAACGTCGCCGAGTACCGGAACAAACTTGTGTCTGAAGTCGAGTCTTTGCTGAACACAGTCTCGGATTGGAGGCGACTAAATTTAGTCCAGTTTAATCCTCAGAGGACACAAATTTGCACGTTTAACGCTAAAAAGAACCCCTTTGTCGTATCTCCTCAGTTTCAAGGCATTCCCCTTCTTGCCTCAGCCAGTATCGGTATCCTCGGAGTCGACATATCGAGTGACGTGCAGTTTCGTGGTCACTTGGAAGGGAAGGCCAAATTGGCCTCTAAAAAGCTTGGCGTGCTCAGCAGAGCGGGACAGTACTTCATGCCGGCACACCGCCTGCAACTTTACAAGGCGCAGGTTCGGCCTCACGTGGAATACTGTTACCATCTCTGGACAGGGGATCCCCAGTGCCAGCTCCTTCCACTTGACCGCATCTAGCGCAGAGCGGCTGGAATCGTCGACGACCGAGTCCTTTCCGATCGGCTTGATTCATTGGCACTGCGAAGAGGTGTTGCATCCTTTTGCATTTTCTTTCGCATTTACCACGGGGAATGCTCTGAGGAATTGTTCGGATTAATCCTAGCCGCCAAATTTCACGAACGCACATCGCGGCAGAACTCTCGATACCATCCACATCTGGAT